TTTTCACCTTCCTTCACCTGCGCACCCCACCCCCCAAACCCCAGCCCCCATACCCTTCCCTTGGTGTGAATCAAACTAGAGTTCTCTGCGTGCAAGGCAAGAAGCCTTGCCATTACACCACAAACGCTGGTGTCGTGGACTAAAGACACGGTATTGGTTAACAGCGAAAGTGAAAAGAAACAGAACAGTACAGCACTGAAAAACCTTATACGGGGTGCCCACTACGGCTGGATCGGGCCGATCGCCCGACTCGATCGCCTGAAACTGAAAACAAACACGATCTCAGCCGTAGCGGGCACCCCGTATTAGCTGATCTAGACACGGCATGACGCCAGAGTCATGCTGATGCAGACTTCACAAAAATCGACGCCATGATCGAAAAAGGGATTAAAATCAAAAAGTAAAATCGAATGAAAGATCATAAAAAGTGGTCAACAAGTCCCCAATAAATTACGAATCACATCTTTAAAAATTACGGTAGATTTTTTAGAAAGCCAGAAATCAACATGGCGGTCGTTGTAATCCGAGAGCGAGACTGGGCAGCGCGGCAGGACGACGTGTCGTCATACACATGACGTAGTCAGCGAGTCGTCCAGTTCTCCTTCACCTTGCGACCTACTACTGCCTCCACCTCGGCCTGGGCTCATCAGCTGTAAAAAGAATGGTGAAATGGTAAAGGTTTAACGCCCCTATCAACAATCTAAGGTAATTTAAGAGGTGAAGTGCCTTTCCTTAGGCTAAGGGCACAACGTCGGACCGAGTTGAGGCTCGAACCCCGAACCCGTAATCTCACGATTACGGGTTCGGTAACCTAACCGCTAGGCCACCGATACCACTCATCAGTTGAAGATGTAGAAGACAAGAGCGCAATTACGTATTATGAGCGTCCTGAGCGGGGAAGAATAGACACTGGTATATAATAATATGTCTATCTAGAGCAGAGAGATCATTGTAGGAGGCTTGAGGATATGGAGGACCCCGAGACACAAATGAAAACGCTAAACTAAAATAGGCATAACAGCTGGGAGTTAACAAAGTCTGGCATCCACGGGATACACGGCACGAGACAGGAGGAGAAATAGGAAGGAAGAGAGGAATTTCTAGCCGACTTTTTTTTCGTAAGAGTTTTACAGCACTTGCAAAAACATTAATATCATACAAGTGTTGAAGATTAGAGGTGTTACAAGAGAGTAACAAACACAAAAAGAAGGAGTGGAGATAAGGACGATCGATGTTTGATAGGAAAGAAGGAGCAAACCACACCAGAGCACCCTCCAACTACCATCTTCTAGCCGATGGCCAATGGGTCGGACAGTCGAAATAAAGAGGTTTGATAAATTGGCATTACAATACGAATGATGAGATCATCATCATCATCATCATCATCATCATCATCATCAACATCATCACCATCATCATCATCATCATCATCGTTAACAACAACAACAACAACAACGACAACAACAATAACAACAACAACAACAACAACAACAACAACATGACGATAGAGTCAAAATCCATATCCTTTTATCATCTGCCATCACTTTCATTTGGAACAGTGAAGCCAGGCAGAACAGAGTCCTGGGAAACACCCAAAGTACGTGATGCCACCCGACAGAAGAACAAACTCCCCTGAGAGGTGAGAAGAGAACCCATCGGAGATGGTGGCGGTAGCCTTGCCAGGAAACTCAGGGGGTTATCAGCGCGGTCAAAACCAACACGTCGCTTAACCTTTAGGAAAACAAACAAACAAACAAACAAACAAACAAACAAAACCAACACACCACCACCACCACCAACAACAACAACAACAACAACAACAAAAACAACAACAGCAACACCAACAACAACAACAATAACAACAACAACAACAAAAACAACAACAGCAACAACAACAACAACAACAACAACAACAACAACAACAACAACAACAACAACAACAACGCAAGAACCCAAAAAATTTTCAATAACAACGCCGGTAAGAAACTAAACAACCACAACAAGCAACAATAAAATACAAACAAAACAAAAACAACACCAACACAGCACAACGATCACAAACAGGTCTACAACATTACCATCTGTTGCTTGAGTAACCTCAGCAACACTTCCTGTGATGACGTCAGCTTGTCCAGACGGGCACTTGTGTTGTTGTACACGTCTTCCAGTTGAGTCTGAGAATTAATGATTTTTTAAATTGTGCGTGAATTTACCAAAGGCGGAGCGAACAGTTAAAACGAGTAGAAGCTATTTAACAAAAAGCAACAACAACAACAGCCTCACCCGCTACCCAAGGGAGGCAGTGGCCCTGGCGAAGAGCACACTCTTCGGGGCTCCGAACATTTCGAACGGATAGGCTACCACACACACACACACACACAACAACAACAAAATGTCCGTCCCAAAGTCAAAACAGAGTAACATAAAATGAAACCTCTACAATCTCAGGTGATCTTCTGCAAGAACGGCTAGATCTATAAGCAAAATTTGAATAATTCTACTCAAGATTTGCTTACTCCATAACTTTACTTTGGAACCTTTGTCTATCCCCCCCCTCCCCTCTCCGCCTTTGTTCACACACACACACACACACACACACACACACACACACACACACACACACACACACACACACACACACACACACAAACATATACTACACACAATCGTTTTATCCCTCAAATTTTCTCCCTGCACAGAGTAAAGTAAAGAGAATTAAGAGATAAAATATGACAACATTATACTCTTTACAATAATCTCACAACGACGTGCACGTGAGTATGTTTCATTCACACACTCACGCGCAAACGGGCTCATATGACCGTATACAGTTGCGAGCGCCGTAAAACACTTACAAAAAAAAAATAAAAAAATAAAAAAATAAATCAAACACACAAGCGCACACATACAACACTAACTGGATTAAGCCGCGGGCTCACAGAAAGGAAGGCATTCCTAAAACGTGGGTCCATGAGCGTGTTTTGGTTAGTGGGTCTCTGGGGAAAGTGTGTTATGAACTCCCCCCCCCCCCCCCCCCCCCATTGTCTGGGCTAGCGGAGAACAAGTCCTCTTTAATAACAATCCGCAGGCTCTTGTTTGTTTCTTTTACCTTTTTTTCAAGCAGAGTTTCATTTAAAAAGGACAGTGGGAATGAGCTCATACTTTTCTGACCCCTAAACACATTTGGTTGGCTGTTAGGTTACTATCGTTGTAAGCGGTGACTACAGTGATTGTAAACGAGCAAGCGTGTGTTTTGCCTTTCCAATAAAGAAGATTCTGAAACGGTTCTAGCGGTTTCAACTTATTATCTCGTTTATTAGAAGAAACATTCATTTACGGAGGGAAAGAGTTTGGGGGTGGGGGTGGGGGTGGGAGTGTGTGGGGCTTAAGCGCTTTAGCCCTTCATTACGCCCAGCCACTGACCCTCTACACCGCAAACGCCGGTGTCAAAGAACTAAACTATATCAACTAGTGTACATAGCATCTAGACAGGAATATCCGATGGAAAATGTCGAGAAAAAGAACAGATTCCAATACGAGTGATTTACCCGCAAACTTACCAGTCGTTTTTCGATCATTTCCTGCATAGTTTGGATCTGACTTTTGATTTGCTGATAGGACAAGTCAGAGGTGGGCTGTTGGATGATTGACATGGCGTGGCTCCTCCCACCGCTGTTTTCTCTGTCCATGCTTTTGGTACCTTCTCTACTGAGCCTGTGAAATATAAAAGTGGAGAAAGTTTGGAGAAGTCCTTTGTTTAGGACAAGGGTCTCAAACTCGTGGCCCGTGGGCCAATTGAGGCCCGTAGGACCATCTTTTCTGGCTCCTGCTTGGCTTAAATGTAGGCTTCTCTTATTTGATTTAAAAAGAGATATGGAATTTTAAAAAAATCTTTGTAATTTCACAGGGATGGAAGAACAAATTAAACGTTTGAGAGAAAAGCAAGAGCAAAAAGCAAACCAATCGTTTCATGACTTCTCTTACAAGATATTTATAATCATTTTGCGTTTGTAGCCTACTCTTTGGTAATTAATGAAGATAGGTCGGCACGTTTACTCACTAGTTTGGGCATTATTGATTTTACTTTCTCGTTTATCTTAAACAAGTGCTTGCCTGTACCACAAAGGCAACTTTATTGTGTCAACAGATACTAAATTCTAATATCTCTTCTATTCTTAAAATGTATGTTGGTAATACATCTCTGTAGTTTGAAACATTTCTTTCTATTCTGAAAATGTTAACGTGGACATATTGTTTCAAATCAAAATTGTTGCGACAAAGATGGGAATAGGCTTAAACGACTTGTGCGAGATAATCTTTCTTCTTGTTTCATACAAATGTAGTCAATGCGGCCCAAGCTCACCCAGCGCTTTATTTTAGCACTTTAGCACCCCCCCCCCCCTTCGTTAGCGATGTAGCCTGTCTACCATTTATTTAGCATTAATTTAGCATTTTAGCACTCTTCAGCTTTTTAGCACTCCCCTATTTAGCACTTGAACACATTTTTAGAATTGTAACTCCCTAGCTCTTCTCTCTTTTGCAATTTAGCCTCTTCTGTTCTTTAGTACTCGCCTCTTTCACACTCGACCCTTTATCACTCCCCTTTTTAGTTTATCCTTCTTTAACATCATTCCACGTTTAAAATTTTCCTTTTTTAAAGTCATGTTCTCACTCTTTACACTTACCTATTTTTAAAGATCTTGGCTTTCACCTCATTCGACTTCTCCTCTGTGTAAAGATGCAACTCTTCCTGAGAGCTAGACCTTCTGCGGAGGTCAAAGTCACAGGAAAACAAGAATCAGCAATGTTTTCACCATGAACAACAGAAACAGAAATAACATCTCTTGGGAACCAAACTGCAGCAATTTTTTTGGTCTTACTGTTTATTGTTTATCAAGAGAAATTAGATTATGCAGACTCTCAAAAGTAGTCTGAATTTACGGGCATTAGGCGCAACATTCATATTAGGGGGTAGGTTACAAAGTCAACTTAACTAGAGAAAGAAATAATATGATTTCGAAATTCAGAGATGAATTCATTATAAAGTTTGCAGCATTTATATTATTGTATTTTTTAAAATTATGTAGCTTTTTAGCATACGGTATATCATTACTCAGTTGAATGACTGTTTTTGTGATACTTATAGAAATTAAAACGACCCAGCTTTCCGTAAAGAAAAATGTGCAAAAAAGAAAATGATTAGAAAGACGTACAAAATAAACGTTACATAATAAGTATAAAACATTGAATTCATAAAACTGCATGCAACCTTAATACTAATACGAAATACTACAGAATATAAATCTACACAAACAATGTCTATAATGAGGACTATGAATCTAAATTTCATAATATCACAGAAATATTCAATAACATCTGATTACAATCGTGTGGTGATTTCGATAACAATGAATTAAAATCAATATGAACACCCAAATATGAAAGCGTAAACATTCTAGTAACAGACACCCTTTCTCGATTGCAGCATAAATGTCAGATGATACATAAATGTGCACTAAAAATATAACGTGTCGTACAAATATACCGTTTTCTCCAGATAAAAAGAAAAAAAGCTGTCATAGGCTAAGCAGTTCACATAGATTCGTAATTCAATGTAATTCTATATCAATCTCTTTCTGGAACACAGTAAATATTATAAAGCGAAATAAATTAATGCTCTTTTCTTTGCTTCAGACGGAGAGGTAGCGCTGATGGAGACTGATATAGAGACTAAGAGAAAAGTACTAAATAGAAAGAGAGAGAGAGAGAGAGAGAGAGAGAGAGAGAGAGAGAGAGAGAGAGAGAGAGAGAGAGAGAGAGAGAGAGAGAGAGAGAGAGAGAGAGAGAGAGATTGGGAAGTTTGGAGATGGGCGAGGTAAAGTGAAAGTGAGAATTAGAGATAGAAAGGGACAACATTGATAAAAGAAGGCTGATGTTTATCCGTAGATATTTTTTTTCTGAATGAAACAAATCCTAACGCAGATTCTAATGCATTCCCTTTTTTTACCGAGACTCAAAGCAATGGCACCGTTATGATACATGTATGCACAAAAATACCAAACATCACTAACCATTTAGCTACATCTAATATCATACACACTCTACTACAGAAAAGACCTACACAAGTAACCACAGTGTATCACTTTGGTATGTATATTATTATGTCAATGTAACTAAACTTTATAAACAAAAGTAAAAGAAACAGGATAGGAGGAAGTCAAAATTCCTACATTCCAAAATTTCAAATTTCACAAGAAACGTGCTGTGCTTATTAAATTCAAGTGATGAACCAAATTTATGTTGGAAATTTTATTAAATGAAAAATTAATGAAAAATGATAAAATACTTACAAGAAGGGAATACCAACCCACAAAGCAGATATCCTTGGTTGAATCTTTGATTTTGATTGTTATTACTAGACAACTGCACGCGTCTGAATTTACGACGACAAAAATTGTTTACAAGTGGGTAATTTCGAATTAAAAACGAACTTTTGATGTATTTTTTGTCTAAATATTTTTGCTGATTTTTGTATAATATGTACGTGGAACAAAGTGTGTAGTGCCTAATTTAAAAAAAAATTCCTTTGCCTACGTAGGCATAAACTGTCACGAAAAAGATAGCGACAATCCTGCCTAGATATTTGCCGACTAAAGCAAAATATTGGTAGATTCATTATAAAGACGATGATTTATTATTCCTACATAATGAGCAAATCTTTCGGAACAATAAATGTAGCAACTGACTAATTTAATCAACTTGAAAAACAAACAAACAAACATACAAAACAAAAGAAACTTAATGGAAAAAAGAGAATGAAGTGATACACGATGCAATTATTGTCATAAACAAAACGAAAAAGATATCTAAATTGAAAGCCCCATAAGCAAACGAAAGAAGACAGAAAAAACCGAACTGGAAATTATTTATAAAAACAGACGCATCAAATAGGCCTATCTATAAGGTTAGGTTGATTTTTAGAAACAATGGGAAACACTATTTGAAAGTGTTAGACTAAAAAAATAACCTTTCAAGTATTTTTTTCTTAGAAAAGGAGAGTGCTGATTCATATTATATTATGAGAATTGGTCTATTAATTATGTTCCCTTATGGATATTTTAAATTACACTTTTGATCATGAAAGACAATCAACAAAAGTGGTCATTAACATTTTTCTCTGTCATTTACAATGATTCTGTGTGCAAGAAAATTTGTCTTTCAAAGGGATAGGGTAAAAAGAGAGGACATGAAGAATCATTTACACTTTCATAATTGGTAAATCATTCACTGTCTGGTTATTCTGTATTTTATTCATACATCACATATTTCACAAGAATTATTCTACGAAATGGAAACAAAATCATTCTCAAACAAAAGTCATCCCTAAAGACCACAAAGCTAAGGCGTGAAAAGAAAGCTCAGGCAAAAAATTAAAAGACATTTCATCTACATTTTTTTTCATAATCTCACAAAACACGATCCACAGTCAAAGGGCACTCAAACACGATCTCATCACAAGGATTCTAATAAAACCAAATGAGGAGTTAAGGGGTTAGAAAACAAACACAAAAATCCACATCGAGAGAGTTTAGTCGCCTGTGAACTTGCAAAAATGGGGCCAATTGAAAGCTTTCAACTAAAAGCCCAGCCTATTTTTTATGCTAGAAAGAAAAGCCAAATTCAGTTTGGATCGTAATTCAAGAATTTTTTAAAAAAATGTTGATGTTTTTTTATGATTCTATCGATGCAATTTAGATCATTTAGAATGCGAGTTCAAACCTTGTCTGTCAGGGAGAACCTGGAGTGAGCGGGATACAACATCCCTGCAAAAAGACCGAGATACTCGATAAAAAAATATTTCTCCTCACTCGGGAATCGAACTCGGGTCCCCAGTGCGACAGCAAAGCACCTAACCGTTACACTAGAGACACCGGTCTCAAGAGTGCGATAGCAGAAAGGAAAAGGAAACTTTGTGGTGGCCCAAATTCGACTTAATCCAAATCATAATATTTTCACTTTATACGCTTTTTTCCTTTGGCTTGAGGGGCCGGGGGGG